ACATTTAGTTTATACATTTATTATATGCAACAATGCAAAATGTGCAGTTAAGTTATATGAATGTACCTGGTAGATACAACACTCTATTAACAATTTTAACTGGAATTTATTTAATATTATGCAGATAAATGATTACAGTTAAAACACGTATAAAGAACATAAGGGTAACATAAATTATAACAATGTATCTGGCATATTAAAACATAACTCTGTATCAACCTTATTATTCTATAAAATTATATGAAATAGTCGAAATATTAGTACAGAAATACTAAATTGATTGCAACTTAGATTCTAATCGTACATACTGTTACTGATTTCTGTCGATGAGCAATGTTGGTCGGCCTCAGTGTATGTAAATCCATGTTTTTCCATTGCAAGTTTAATCATTATTTCTTTTGATAATACTTGAAACATATATGCGGTTACCATCGATGGTGGGCTGTAAAAAACAATCACAATTACTAACCAATGTTACTTAAATGATAATGAAACTCAATATATAAATATGTTAACATACTGACCCATTTCTGAAAGTTTCTGTTAGTATATCATCACTCTTGCCAGAGGGTGTTCTTATCGTAGAGAATCTGTCGTACAATCTGTATAATTCAATAATTGGCATTCAATAACTTGTCCATGCTTAATGCTGAAGTTGTACTGTGAAAGTATTGCCTATTTTTTAACAGGTGTCCTCTATTGACAATCGTTTGAAATAGAAGTTTTGAGGTATATCTTAAAGTTCGTGGACACTTGGATAATGTTCGTTCTTCATTTATGTTGACATGGTATTGGCGTTCATGTTGTCAATATTTCGAAATTAAACAACAAAAGCTATATTTCGTATGAAACCACTAAAGTACAAATTGTCCCAACTCTTCTGTTAGTGGGAGTGTTTCAAAGTTAAATTGCTTCGAGATTTTGGAAAATTTGATTGCACGCCCACGAGAAGTAAACCTAATCGCAGGTTCTATTGTGTAGAGCAAACATAAGAGTTGTGAAATTATTGGATGAGAACGAAAAATACAAATTTTCAAACAAATTTACAAAAGTGAGTATAAAAATTAAAGAATAACTCATGACAAAATAACTCGTTAACATACCTGGGACCGGATTTAACTATTACACATTTATTATTTAAATACTCAATAAGGGAATCCACAGCCTGTAACAAATTAAAGCCAGGTCTTGTTAAGTCTCTATTCTATATTAAACAGACTCAAGTTAGCAACACTGATTAGCTTATAGTCAGCTTACCTCGAGGGTGAAAAGATCGAGTCCAAAGCAATACTTCAGGCGGGTTTTCTCTCTGTCACCTTCGAGAAATTCTACATGTCTTTTTGCCTCAGGCAACTCTCTGTCAAAACATCAAAGAAAGACCGTAACATTTGAGAAAAAACTATTCTGAAGTATGCGAAAGAAAAATGTGTGTGTACTTAAAACTGCTATCATAAAAGTATTAAAATATAATTTACCTTTTCTGTTCACAATGTGACATTATTATATGTTCCATATACCAATGATAAGAAGGTAACTATCAAGAAATAACATGCAAGAAAACATTTATAAGACAGGGATATTCACTTTCGCTAAGTTTGAATATTCCGATATTGCATGACTGAATTTATTGAATTGACTGTTAGCTAATTCGCAGGTTTTGTGTAACCTACCTCTCTAATGATATCTCTTTTCTGGAATACAAACTTTGGTTCACTACTTTCTATGGCATTACTATTATCCTCAGTTACATCATTGGCATCGACACATGTACTGACATCATCAGGATTCTATTCATTAGTTTATAAACGAATTATTGTGATTACAAATCATATACATATTACATTGACATGCCTTGAACATATAATTCCCGGTAGTACATATATTTAGGTTGTATATTTGTACATACTAGTATGTAACAATAAATGCAATTAATTTTCATGAAATTAATTAATCTATACGTACTTCATCATTTCGCCTATGCATTTGTGACGGATCTGAGGTTTCTGGAAAAAAAATCTAATATGTAAATGTGTGTTGGTGTTCGCATGTGTTTCAAAGAACCAAGGTGCCTCAGAGGCCTGATCAAGGTCACGAAGTCAAGTTGAGGTCATGGGGTAAAGTTTACAAAGGAGCCGCCAATGGAACAATGGGGACTGTACTGGCGCCAATTTGAGGCCAAATACCATACATTCTTATTGCCTTTCAATTCGTTATTGCATTATTTGGTAAGCTCAAAAACTGAATAAATTGCACAACACAATTTATCTTGGGTGGCACATTAGATTTGTACTTACTTACCTAATGTTGGTTTTTGATGTTCCTGTTCGCTGTCCCCGATAATAATAGCAATGTCACTGAAATAATATAGAATTTCAAACATAGATGAGATTAACTAACGTATATATCATATCTAAAATATCCTTGGCACGCTGTGTTGAAAAATTACAGAACAGTTATCTCGTATTTTATTGTTATTTTAGAGCTTCGTACCTTTCCGCAGTTTTTTTCTTCTTTACAGTCTCTGTTATCCACTTATCAGAAAAGCGTTTCTGTAATAAAACATTACGTCGATGTATACTAGTACAGTGTAAAATATTTCTACATTCAACCATAACAACGAGAAATATGAAGCTCATATTCGTAATTCAGATTGATTTACACATTTTTTACAGCATTCACTGCGTATAATTACCTTTGATGGATTAACTCGTAGATTGTATTTCATTGTATCCTTGTTAATTTCTGCATAATACAATACAGCATGAAGTCTTGTTAATTTACAAAGAACAGGAATTTTAAAGAAAGTTTAAAAATGAATGATTATTGTACACACTGACCTTGTAAAGGTTTAACCGCCATGTAATGAAGGTTTGGCAGATACCCTAGGTATATCATCTCGTTAAGTGGTACGTCATCTGGCGGACTTATGATCCTGGTATAAGTTGGGGTTACAAGCTTAATTTCCGATTGTAACATAATTGAAGCTACAACAAGTATAATCTGGTCACCCCAAACGCTCGGTCCTTTCATGTAGTCGATGTAATTCTCAAAAGTTGTTTTCATATTACGTAGTTCAACACATAGTAAGCCCTTTAGAAAATCAGAGAAAAATAAATTATGCAATAATTGTTTAGTATTAATAATGCGCAATGTCTTTATTTGTATTTATACAATTTTCTGATTCTGTCAAAACCCTAAATATTATGTTACATATTATGTATAATTTACATAGTTGAACGACACATGGAATAACAAATAATAATAAAAAAGACACAAACAAATCCCACGGTACAACATGATACTAAACTGCATTTATCATATTATTTTTTAATCGGGAATGACTTATGTTAATTATTAAAATTTAAGGATAAAAACTCTCAATATACTCTCAATTGCATTGTTTTTGGATATTAATAACTATATTGTCATTCAAATATTGAGCATGAAGAAACTACTATTTGCCGTAATGTTAATACATGTTTGTGACTCGTCTCACAGAAATCTATGAGAATGTAACTGAACAAAAATGCTATATGCTATTTCTTACCTGAAGCTCAGTTTTTGATTCCGACATGAAGTTTAAAATGAGTTCGCGTAACTCGTAGTGAGATAGTTCTGTCCGTGGGATGTCCTTAGCTCTACAAATATGTTCACACAGTGCGTGGAATAAGCAATTCCCATCCATTGGTGTTGGTGGTAGGCATTCTTCCAGCCCTTCTCTGAGTAGGGCATCCCTCAGACGAGTGATATTCTCTGTCTCTTTCTCAGCAGTTTCACGTGACTCACGCAGAACCCTCATAATATCAATCACTTGATTATTGTAACCTAAATAATGAGATTAATACTTATTAATATAATGGGCTCTCGAGTCAGTGAACACCAATATGTTTTATATCAACGATGTATCTCAAGAATACATTCCGTATTTCCATATCATGGTCAATTACCTTGTGTTTGGTCCATTGCTATAGAACCAAGTATCTCCTTTGCAACTTCAAGGTCTATAACTGAATGCTCTGGTATATTATCTGTATTGGATGATTGAAATACAAATTATGAGGAACATGTGATAAACAAACAAACATATAATTCAAACATGTAGATGAAGTCAGTTATAAAAATCAAATATGCCTCAAATCAACAAGGTTGTGCAGTCATATATGCAATTATCATACCTGTGACATCACCCTGCTCCGATAAACTTTCGACGTGTACGGTAACATTGGAAATGTGGTCAATAGAGGAATGGTTTGAAGTCGACTGACCTGTGTGGAAAAGAAAACATAAAAATGTAACATGTACATGAAATGATTTAAGTGAAAAGTATGAAATTTATGTACTGAACTAACAATTACAGTTAAAAAAATCAAATATAACCCAAATCAGATATGCAATTATAATACCTGTGACATCACCCTGCTCCGATAAACTGTCTACGTGTTCGATAACATTGGAAATTTGGTCAATAGAGGAATGGTTTGAAGTCGACTGACCTGTGTGGAAAAGAAAACACGAGTATGTAATACATACTTTCATTAACATGTGAAACATAAATAATCACTATAGATACATGAGTAAACACATTTGTAGTGAAACAATAAACTTACTGATAACTGCACGTCCCAAGCTATCGAAGGTTACTTGGGCCTTGAATACGTCTGTCATTTTGGCCATGGTATCGGCGTTCACTTTCATGTTATGTGAGTGAATAACATTCATTAATATAAATATATGTGTTGTAGCTCCCATAGTATTTAGGAAATGAATGTCCCTCTTTCTTGAGTTGTGTATTTGTTCTGCTACCTGACTATTTACAATGCCGTGCAACTCCGGAATATTTGAAATACGTCGCAATACTTCCTCTTCCTTGGATGTATTTTGCTGGTGAAATACATCATATAAACACAGATGAACATCATCTCCTAGTACATGATTTCCTTGACTGGACTGCTGCCGACCATATAGCCAAGGTAAGTGTACCTCCAATTTTCCTTCTGTTGCTAGCATAATATTTTCTGATGTGCTTTCTCTGCAACTCTGTCGTCATAGGGATGAAACATCTGCGGATGTCTAATATTTCCATGTCTTGCTACCATATGTGGCATATCAACGATAACAACAGATGGTTGAACCTTGAAAGACCTAATAAGGTCAACGTGATCTCGCGGACTCTCAGCCCGAATAAGAAACTTAACTGCATATACGATACGATGAGGGCAGCTTGCTGAAAGCCATCCACCTTAATAAATACAAACATATATGAATATTTTTCCGCACACAATTTGGTCAATGATAAATTTTCCATTAACAATAGTTACATTATGCATTCTATTATTCCCTAATTTTGTTTTCGTGGGTCTATATTTAAATTTGAGTATTGCTCGATAGTATATTTAGTAAATTTTGCATAGATTTCAAAGTGTACGTACCAGAAGCACCCCATATCTTTTGGAATACTTTGTTCATTATATTATCATTTTTAATCAGTGCCTGTCGAATACGCAATACCATATCATATTTTGATCCGGTTGCTGCAATATTGCAAGTTGAACATATTTCTTTCACCTTTGCAACCTTTCGAAACAAATATTAATATGAAAGCTTAGCATATGTTTCAATTCATATACTAGTATATTAAATGTCAGTTCAGGTCTATCAGTACAAATCAAATATCATTAGTTTACACACCGTACATACAAAATAATAACAAATATGAATTGGAATTAATCTGGTCTAATTTCTCTACTTTGTGGTTAAATAATAGTAAACATCATTTACCGTGATGCTTGAAGAATTCAGGAGTTCTATTAAACGCTCCTCGGACATATCACGACAGTCTGTTTCAAGTCTTTCAGTTTCTCTTATCACTTTTCTGTGCTCTGTATTCCATACTGTTTCCCCACGGGTAGCTCGTCCAATGTATGGTGCCCATGCTGAATAGGATGGTGTCACTTGGAATGGATTTTTTTCGCCATCTGTAACAATATAACCATAATATACATTTACATAATCTTTATGTTTGTGCTAGGAACGAACCAAAATAAATATATCATAAGAACTGCCAGCAAAACAGTGGGAAAACAAAAAGACACATTAATTAGTATACAAAACAATGTCACATTACAACATTAAAAATACAAACAATCATTTGGGTAATTATATTATAATAAAATATGTATCTTACATCTAATGAGCGGTTTCACTAACTTCTCCATTTCGATCTTTTTCCAGAATGTTTCAACATCAACTTTATCAGAATCTTCACAAACATCCGGTAATTTGAGACTAGACACTTAGAAAAAAATAATGTAGGGTTTATTGTTTATTAAAATCATTTGAATGAAAACTCAACATTGCAGTATTTCATCTCTAACTAAACATATGTTTAGACCTCATATTAGCAATTAACTTAACGTTGCATATTTTAAATATATTCACTACACTACATGCTTACCATCCATCCTGAAGCATGCCTTTCTTTGCAAATCAGTAATGATGACGGGCGGGTTACTGCCACAAATTACACAATTGAAAGTATAATCATGGTCCGTCAAGGCCTCAAAATGTTCATACGCTTTGATGACAACATTATGGGGTATCCGTATATTGTTTGTGTCTTCCCAAGCTGACATCACACTACCAATAGCAGTATGATTCTGTGTATGAATATATGTGTTCATGTTATACAGATGGGCCAGAGGTATTCGTATTAATCATAATTATATTGACTTATTTTCTCAAACACGTTCTCAGCATACGTTATCATTTTTACACACAGAAAATGATTTAGCAAAACTTACTGCGAGAGATTTTCTTAGAAAAACTAATAATCGCACGGAAAATATCCATTTGTCATCATAATTGTGTAATTGATCACAATGTTCCTGATATCTGTACACCAGGTCACAAAGACTGCACTTTCGACAATAAGTTTCCACGCCTAAAAAATACAAAATGTAATAGTTGTATAACGATCGTCTTATTGGGGTAATGGTTGCCGTTGGCCAAAAAATGTGCAAACAATTAAAAAATAACACAACAATATTAGTCATTACGTATTTTGCATAATTTCATAGGATTGAAAAGTATGTGAATATATATAGTTTTTATATGACAATATAAATAATAGAGGAAACAGTTACATACCTTTTATTAGTCCATTCATTGCAACTATATTTGCATTCGATGATATAAGCAAGGGTGAATCCAAAAGCGGTTGCGATTTACATACTTTGCACCTCTTTTCCACAGGCATGAGACGAGTATGGTTAAAATTCTCTGACATAGACAAAGAAATATCAGGTGGAATTTTTTTATGCCTCAACCAGTATTCAACCATTCTCTCCGAAATGTCAATAACCGGTGGATATGAATGTAATTGTTTTATAGCGCCAGGAATAATCAGCGTGTTGCCATCATCAATGTCATCAGTTTCATATTGGTCTTCTGAGGCGCCGTGGTGTATTTTACCCGGGAATACTTGGTAGCAATACCAACGAGCAAGAGCTTTGTGACCGCAACCCCTCTTCTTGCAGCATCGACAATGCCATGTGTTTTTATCAGTATCATATGAAACAATAACTCGCCCAAGTATACTGTAATAGTGAGTCTCGCCTGTATGAATGGAAAAACGCAATTGCCGATCTGTACTAGCCGATTCAAATAATGGATACACAGGCACTGACCCATTGGCTATGCTTCGACTGTTCAATGTTAGAGCTGCATCTCTACTGCTATCAGAAAATGGATGATACGTATTACATAATTCATCAAGTTTCACGGGGAGAAGGAATGGTTGTTCTATGAATCGAATTGCTCTGTTAACTGATAATAAATGTTGACATTCGAAACTTGGAAGTCTGCTACGTGTTGCAATTGTTGCAGCTTGTATACATGTGCTACTCTCGCAAAATACTTTTGGATTTGTACAAAGAAGTTCTTTCTCAGCATGAATTGGTAAGGCATTTCTCGGACCAGCTTCCACTGCAAATAAAGAGTTTTCTCGATTCACAGAATATGATTTAAGAACTGGCAAAGACTTAAAACTATTGCCATGTATGTTTTCTTCGTGGCGTTTAAGATTTTTTTTCAACATACGTTCGCCACATTCAGAACATGATACTCTGTCTACCCCACGTTTGAATAGTGGAATGCGTGTTGATGTACTACATGATAAATGGTTTACTAAAGGCAGATTGGATGAGGGTGATGGAGATTCATCTCTTTCAGAATCATCGCCAGGATATTCATGATCGATTGGTGGTGGCATTGGCAGTGGTTGCGAATGTTGTTGCTTTTTATCTTCTGTAAAATACAATATAACAACACATAATTATCTTTCTAATTACGGTGTATTATAGCTTTCTATTTTGGTATTGTACTATTCTGAAGAGAACATTAAACGTGAATACGTAAAAACAACATATATGTTACCATTCTCAGTCTTCTTTCTTGATAATAATACGGCCACTTCAATGTTGTCCATGCTGTTGTCGCATGTTTTAAGATGCCGCTCCAATATGTAGGCCTTTGACCAAATAGTCAAACAAAATGGGCAGTGCCAGTGTCGTGGCGTTTTAATAATCGCGCTGTCACATTTACACATAACACTGTGTAATCCTGCAAATAGGTTAACAAAATTGTAGTATAATTATATGTGGTGCTTCTGAGTTGACAATAAGTGGATGTGTAATGAATACCTGTATGATTGCCCTAATAAACCAATGCGATGGTAGATTAATTCAATACAATTGACCTAATTCGTCATATCCATGACAGACTCAGAATCTAAGTTGACTACGACAACTACGCTGAGAAACTAATGATATTTGACCAAAACCATTTATACAATTACCTGCAATGATTTGCAATCTTGGCAATTATCTGAATTTATTGACATTGTTTGGTTTTCACGACGAAACGAGAGGGCGGATAACATACCAAAGTATGTATAGAACTAAATAGAATTAGAAATTTGATATAACCAACAGAATCAAACAATGCGGCTTTGTTGCTGAAGCTGTATAAGTAATGAGTAAAATATGGTGAGCAATATTTAATAATGTAATTTGAACTAATATACAGCAAAGGTGTAAATATATACAATGATCTCGAGATTGCGAGAACCAAACATATATTCCATTCTCTCCGTTCTTTGTTTCAAATATCTAGTTTACATAGTAAGAATAAAACACCATCTGATGCGGTGTAACGTGGTCTCTTGCTCAACGAAATCTTAGTGTATACTTACCGAGAAAACTCACTCTCGATTTCCAGTGCACTGCACGTATGTGCTTCATGATCATGTATTTTTTGCCTTTTGTATCACATAAAGCACAATGATATCGGGAACAATGGCAATTTCCCTCATCACTGCATTTCAAAATTCTATAAGACAAGTCATTCTCTCCGGTTACAATACTCGGGAATTCATTATCTGGGAACGCATCAAGAATCAAGCATTTTATTCTGAAATGTCATTTATTAAGGTGATTGGGAAGGTGACGGTGAAAGTTGAGTAGATACGACTCATTGGCGAGAGTATGTGAAAGTTTTTAAAATGAGATACTTGATAAGAATACAATTATTGTACTACAGGGAGGGCAGCGCTCTCTAATAGAATGCAATTATTTCGTAGCCGCCGTTATATAATTTCGTATAATTTCTGCATGGAAAGTACGTAATTTAATAAAGTAGACTAGTAAATATTGTTTGAATTACAAATAGTGCTATAACTGTACTTCAAACGACGTTGTTATAATGAAGCGTGCTGTGGTAGAACAGGGAGCGCAGCGCTCTCTAATAGAATGCAATTATTTCATAGCCGCCGTGATATAATTTCGTATAATTTCTGCATGGAAAGTACGTAATTTAATAAAGTAGACTAGTAAATATTGCTTGAATTACAAATAGTGCTATAACTGTACTTCAAACGACGTTGTTATAATGAAGCGTGCTGTGGTAGAACAGGGAGCGCAGCGCTCTCTAATAGAATGCAATTATTTCGTAGCCGCCGTGATATAATTTCGTATAATTTCTACATGGAAAGTACGTATTTTAATAAAGTAGACTAGTAAATATTGTTTGAATTACAAATACTGCTATAACTGTGCTTCAAACACGTTGTTATAATGAAGCGTGCTGTGGTAGAACAGAGAGCGCAGCGCTCTCTAATAGAATGCAGTTATTTCGTAGCCGCCGTGATATAATTTCGTATAATTTCTGCATGGAAAGTACGTAATTTAATAAAGTAGACTAGTAAATATTGTTTGAATTACAAAAAGTGCTATAACTGTGCTTCAAACACGTTGTTATAATGAAGCGTGCTGTTGTAGAACAGAGAGCGCAGCGCTCTCTAATAGAATGCAAGTTATTTCGTAGCCGCCGTGATATAATTTCGTATAATTTCTGCATGGAAAGTACGTAATTTAATAAAGTAGACTAGTAAATATTGTTTGAATTACAAATAGTGCTATGACTGTACTTCAAACACGTTATAATGAAGCGTGCTGTGGTAGAACACAGAGCGCAACGCTCTCTAATAGAATGCAGTTATTTCGTAGCCGCCGTGATATAATTTCGTATAATTTCTGCATGGAAAGTACGTATTTTAATAAAGTAGACTAGTAAATATTGTTTGAATTACAAAAAGTGCTATAACTGTGCTTCAAACACGTTGTTATAATGAAGCGTGCTGTGGTAGAACAGAGAGCGCAGCGCTCTCCAATAGAATGCAGTTATTTCGTAGCCGCCGTGATATAATTTCTGCATGGAAAGTACGTAATTTAATAAAGTAGACTAGTAAATATTGTTTGAATTACAAATACTGCTATAACTGTGCTTCAAACGACGTTGTTATAATGAAGCGTGCTGTGGTAGAACAGAAAGCGCAGCGCTCTCTAATAGAATGCAGTTATTTCGCAGCCGCCGTGATATAATTTCTGCATGGAAAGTACGTAATTTAATAAAGTAGACTAGTAAATATTGTTTGAATTACAAATAGTGCTATAACTGTACTTCAAACGACGTTGTTATAATAAGGCGTGCTGTGGTAGAACAGGGAGCGCAGCGCTCTCTAATAGAATGCAATTATTTCGTAGCCGCCGTGATATAATTTCGTATAATTTCTGCATGGAAAGTACGTAATTTAATAAAGTAGACTAGTAAATATTGTTTGAATTACAAATAGTGCTATAAATGTACTTCAAACACGTTGTTATAATGAAGCGTGCTGTGGTAGAACACAGAGCGCAGCGCTCTCTAATAGAATGCAGTTATTTCGTAGCCGCCGTGATATAATTTCGTATAATTTCTGCATGGAAAGTACGTATTTTAATAAAGTAGACTAGTAAATATTGTTTGAATTACAAATAGTGCTATAAATGTACTTCAAACACGTTGTTATAATGAAGCGTGCTGTGGTAGAACAGAGAGCGCAGCGCTCTCTAATAGAATGCAGTTATTTCGTAGCCGCCGTGATATAATTTCTGCATGGAAAGTACGTAATTTAATAAAGTAGACTAGTAAATATTGTTTGAATTACAAATAGTGCTATAACTGTGCTTTAAACGACGTGTTATAATGAAGCGTGCTGTGGTAGAACAGAGAGCGCAGCGCTGTCTAATAGAATGCAGTTATTTCGCAGCCGCCGTGATATAATTTCTGCATGGAAAGTACGTAATTTAATAAAGTAGACTAGTAAATATTGTTTGAATTACAAATAGTGCTATAACTGTACTTCAAACGACGTTGTTATAATGAAGCGTGCTGTGGTAGAACAGGGAGCGCAGCGCTCTCTAATAGAATGCAATTATTTCGTAGCCGCCGTGATATAATTTCTGCATGGAAAGTACGTAATTTAATAAAGTAGACCAGTAAATATTGTTTGAATTACAAATAGTGCTATAAATGTACTTCAAACACGTTGTTATAATGAAGCGTGCTGTGGTAAAACAGGGAGCGCAGCGCTCTCTAATAGAATGAAGTTATTTCGTAGCCGCCGTGATATAATTTCGTATAATTTCTGCACGGAAAGTACGTATTTTAATAAAGTAGACTAGTAAATATTGTTTGAATTACAAATAGTGCTATGACTGTACTTTAAACACGTTGTTATAATGAAGCGTGCTGTGGTAGAACACAGAGCGCAGCGCTCTCTAATAGAATGCAGTTATTTCATAGCCGCCGTGATATAATTTCGTATAATTTCTGCATGGAAAGTACGTATTTTAATAAAGTAGACTAGTAAATATTGTTTGAATTACAAATAGTGCTATAAATGTACTTCAAACACGTTGTTATAATGAAGCGTGCTGTGGTAGAACAGAGAGCGCAGCGCTCTCTAATAGAATGCAGTTATTTCGTAGCCGCTGTGGTATTATTTAATTTATTTTTTTCCTGGATAGTACATAATTTACCTACAGGCAAATCGCACTCCAGGGAATATGACACGTGATGCCACGTGTAATATTTACAACAAAATCATACGTACTGTATTCTGTTATGCATAATAAACACAGATGGCTGACGTTTTTGTAAGCCAATAATATATTTTAGAACTCACTTTTCACTCTGGCAATGGTATCATTCGCCTGTTCTGCCATCATGTCTGCCATCGTCTCTTTCAAATTCAAAATCATGCTGTGGTTGCGCATGTGTAGCCGTGTCCAATAGTGGGCGTCCGCGTTGAGGACGCGCAAATTGAATGACCTAGTTTCCGACCTACTTACGCGCGCGTATCGTCCTCTAATAGAACGCTCTCTAGTGGAACAGCGCGTTCTAGTAGAATGGCTGGAGCAAAACCTTTATCTATCCGGGTCTCATATGACAAACTGCCTTGGTGTGTTTATAATGCAAGCAGGTGTGTATTAATAATAGTAAAACACCCGATTCTGTACTAGTTTGTAATTGCCTTTTAATTAATCTGTTATTTTAATATTTTAATATTTTACTGAGTTTTTGACTCTCTTGTGCAAAGCACAAAATGGGAGTCTTTACGGTTAGTGTGTCTGTATGTGTGTGTATGTGTGTGTCTGGGTGTGTGTGTGTGTGTATGTGTTGTTGTAGACGTAAAAGTAGAGCCAGTAGTCCAGACATACACAAACAAAGTGGAGCCCTTTGTACACAATGTTTCATAATTTATATTAATATTTAATCGAATTTAAGTCAGGTTTGCAAAGCTTAGGTTTAGTATTGGGGAAGGTATGGTTCAATTTATATTTATATTAATATAATTATACCATACCTTACCCCGATACTAAACCTAAGCTTCGCAAACATTTCTATGTTCAGTCACGGGATATTCAACTCTAGTTTAATTAAACTTAATTAAACTGCAATTCTCCATTGTATTGCATTGTAATTGAGTTTAATTAAACTTCCAATTAAAA